AAGGGGCTGGTTTGGTCTGGGGGTGGGTCTTCACAGAGGCCAGAGTGCAGGCTTGGAGCCAAAGGCCTGACTTTAACCCTGGCCCTGCCACTCATCTCTGTGAACCGGGGCAAGCGACTCCAGCCGATGGTGGTCCCCTCTTCGTGGGGCTGTTGTGAAGTCATTGGAGTAAGGTACACAAAGTACCCAGTGATGGGAGCCTGCCTGGCTGGGGTGACTGCCTGGCAGGATGACCCCACCCCAACTCTGCTTCGGGCCTTTCTGCCTCCCAGGTACCCTTAGAATGGTCCTGGAGTAGGGGGTCTGCCCAGTCAGAGACCTGCACTCAGGGACTCCTCTGTCCCCTTGAACCACCAGGGTGGACTGTCACCCAAAAAAGGGCCCTTTGAACTCTGACCCCTGACTCCTCCTCCCTGTGTAGGTGTCAGCCTGGCTGAGGATGGAGAGGAGCAGGCAGTGGGGTGGAGAAGTTGTGTCCACAGCTCCTCCTCTGGGGGAGAAAAAGGGGGGAGAGATGCGAGGGTGGAAGGCGGAGCCCACAGGGGTGCTGTCACCTGGCATCCAGGTGTTTGTGAGCCTCACAGAGGCCCACGTGGTTGAGGCCACGTGAAGGCTCACAGTCTGCTCTCACAGAAGAAAGCCACAGATTTTCCCTCTCCTTGTTTGCCTCTCCCTGCCTCCCTGCCTCCTCTCTCTGGCTCCCTCCTCTTCTCTCTGATTCCCTGCCTCCTCTCTCTCTCCCCTTTCTCCTCTCTCTGAGCCCCTGTCTCCTCTCTCTGAGCCCCTGCCTCCTCTCTCTCTCCCCTTTCTCCTCTCTCTGAGCCCCTGTCTCCTCTCTCTGAGCCCCTGCCTCCTCTCTCTCTCCCCTTTCTCCTCTCTCTGAGCCCCTGTCTCCTCTCTCTGAGCCCCTGCCTCCTCTCTCTCTCCCCTTTCTCCTCTCTCTGAGCCCCTGTCTCCTCTCTCTGAGCCCCTGCCTCCTCTCTCTCTCCCCTTTCTCCTCTCTCTGAGCCCCTGTCTCCTCTCTCTGAGCCCCTGCCTCCTCTCTCTCTCCCCTTTCTCCTCTCTCTGAGCCCCTGTCTCCTCTCTCTGAGCCCCTGCCTCCTCTCTCTCTCCCCTTTCTCCTCTCTCTGAGCCCCTGTCTCCTCTCTCTGAGCCCCTGCCTCCTCTCTCTCTCCCCTTTCTCCTCTCTCTGAGCCCCTGCCTCCTCTCTCTGGCTCACTGTCTCCTCTCTCTGGGCCTTATCCCATTCAGCCCTTGATATTAGCGTGTCCGTAAGAGGAGCCCTAGGGGTAGAGGCTGGGTAGGTGGGGATGGAGACAAACACTGTTTCTGGGGGCTGCTGGCCTCCTTTCCTCTCGGTCTAGACAGAGGTGACCACCAGCAGAGTCAAGCTCCCTGGGGGAGGGGATGTCCTTGTTGGGGCCTCTTTCCCCCATCTCTGCTGGAGGCCCAGGCTGGCTCACAGCCCGAAGGAGACTGAGAAGGGTTCATGGCTGTTGATCTTGTATCCCCGGCTCCCCACTGTCCACCTATGCGAGTGCCCAAGGCACCGAGACCCTCCTTGTCACAGCCCCCGGGCCAGCCAGGCAGGGTGGGGGTGGAGGGAGAAGAGACCAGAGGCAGAGCCATAGGCTTCATTCATTCATGGATCACTTATTGAGCGCCAGCTGTGTACACGGCACTGAAATCCTGTGGGATAAATGGAAAGATGGCTTCAGACATGAGTAGGGTGGGGGGCGTGGGGGTCTTAGCTTGGAGTCACTGTCCTTGGAGCCGCTCTTATTAACTCGGGGGCCAGTCATGTAGCCTTTAAGCACCAGGGTCCTTATTTGTGAAATGAGGAAGATAAGAGGTGCCTCAGAGGGAGGGGGTGAGGAGACGCCACAGCACTGGGCAGCCTGCCTGCGGTCCCGTGCCTCCTCTGCTGGTGGCAGACAGGTGTGGAGCCATGAGCAAGTTACCAAACTCCGCTGTGTTTCAATGCCCTCGTCCGTACGTTGGGATAACTCCACCTGCCTTCTGGGATCACTGAGGGGCGAAGGGGGTTAGGACGTGTTCTCATCACTTGGAACATTCTGGAACTTATTAACTGCAAAATAAATGCCAGCTATTACCCGTCTACACTTAGCACAGTGCTTGGCGTGCGGCAGGGGCTTGGTTCATGGTGATCGCTAGCCTGGCCCCCGGCCTGGGTCCGCGGTGTGCTGGGCAGCCTCACTGTGTGCGTCTCTCGGCACGTCATTCATTGGCATTGTGGCCGCTGGACTCAGCCACGGTGGCAGTGTGTACGCCAGGGAAATCGACAAACGCTAGCAATCAGGGCTTTTTCAAAAGATATTTTTTTTGAGAGCCGGTTTACTGCGCAGCGGCTGTCCGTCGCCTGGGTGGGCAGGACGTGTGCCAGGAGACTTGCACACAGGATCTGTCTCCACCTCAGGTCTCGGCATCATGGCAGACAGGGCTGTAAGATGCTGGAGAGAGCCTTCGTGTACATGAGCGAGGCACTCCAGGCCACTGACCTGGGGCACCCAGGGGTGGGGGCCAGCACGTACCCCCCTTTGTGACTCCTCTGAGCCCCGTTTTCCCCGCCTGCACCTCCCTGTGTGGCAGCCTGGGGGTTGATATTTCAGGGGCCCGTATCCATTTCTCGTTCCTCTGCTCTAGAGAGGAAGGGATTCCGGCCGGGGTGGGTCGGGGTCTGAGCAGCCTTCAGACAGGAGTAGCATTTGAGCCAGACCCTGAAACATACAAGGGAGGGGTGTTCTGGGGGAGGGACTCGCCTGAGCTGGGGAGCAGAGGCAGATCTCAGCAGAGCTCAAACCAACTAGAGTGACGGGGGTTTGGGGGTCCTGGGGGGATCCTGATGGGTGCTGAGATAGGAAAGGAGGGAATCTGGGCTGTGACTGGCCTTTGGGGAGGGGCGGGGGGGCTGATGGAGCTCCTGGAGGTTTGGAGCTCAGATTCATTTCAGCCTCATCCCCAAGGCGGGAGGCTCCCATAGAAAGTTCTGGGTATATCAGAACCATGAACCCTCGGAGTTAGAAGGACTTGAGTTGTTCAGGGGTCATTTCTCTGACCCATATTGCCTAGTCCAGGTCTCTGGGTCTCCTGAGGTGGGCAAACTCCCAGGGCCCGGGGCGGGGGGGGACATTAGAAGGGCATTTGACTGACGGGCCATGCGAAACACATTAGCAGCGAGGCCCAAGACACTGGAGGTGGTGCCTGCTAGGGAAGGGGCAGGTGGAGGTGGAACAGACCCTGGGGATAGTGGGGCTGGGGTTGTTCCTAGGTTGAGGGAGACAGAGATGCAGAAAGAGGAGAGGGAGGGAGGAAGGAAGGGAGGGAGGGAGAGAGAGAGAGAGAGAGAGGGGGGAGGGAGAGAGGCAGGGGGGGGGGGGGGGGGGGGGAGAAAACTGCCGGGCAGCCCCACGCTCTGGCATGAAGGGTGTGGTCTGGACACGGCCTCTCCCATGTCGTGTCCTGGAACCACAGGCTTCTGGGAGGCCAGAGACGGAGGGACGGATGGATCAGGGAGAGAACGGAATCTAACAGGAGTTAACGTCTCTGAGATCTCGCCATGTGCCGAGCCCTTGCCAACTGCTGCATGAGTTCAGTCCATTTTATAGATGAGAAAAGTGACTCCTAGGAAAGTTAGGCGACTTGCCCAGGAGCAATAGTGAGGGATACAATGAGGATTTGAGCCCTCGCAGCCGGTGCTGGAATGAGTAAGGGGCGAGTGAGTGCGTGAGTGAGTGAAGGAGGAAAGAAACGAGGGTGTGAACCAGGGGTCCTCACACTGCGGCCTACGGGCCACATCCAAATACAAATATTGTATTTGTTCCCGTTTTGTTTTTTTACTTCAAAACAAGATATGTGCAGTGTGCATAGGAATTTGTTCATAGTTTTTTTTTAAACTATAGTCCGGCCCTCCAACGGTCTGAGGGACAGTGAACTGGCCCCCTGTTTAAAAAGTTTGAGGACCCCTGGCACTGTGAATGGATGAACGTGCAGAACTCCAGAGCCGCTTAGAGAGACCCTAGGCCACCATCCCCATTTTACAGACAGAAAACTGAGACCTGGCCAGGAGCCAGGCAGAGGAGGCCATGGCCTGCAGCAGGGGACGGCAGGGCTGCACCCGGGGCCTCCTGACGCCCGCTCCCCTCTCTCTGTCACAGCCCCGAGCCATGATGAAGACCCTGTCCAGCGGGAACTGCACGTTCAGCGTGCCCGCCAAGAACTCGTACCGCATGGTGGTGCTGGGCGCCTCCCGGGTGGGCAAGAGCTCCATTGTCTCTCGCTTCCTCAACGGCCGCTTCGAGGACCAGTACACGCCCACCATCGAGGACTTCCACCGGAAGGTCTACAACATCCGCGGCGACATGTACCAGCTGGACATCCTGGACACGTCCGGCAACCACCCCTTCCCTGCCATGCGCAGGCTCTCCATCCTCACAGGTGGGTGCTGGGCTGGGCTGGGTGCCGTGCATGTGGGCGTATGTGCCCAGCGCTTTACAGCGGGCAGAGCGCTTGCCCGCCCATCGTCTGAGACGAAGGTCACAGAGGCCCCGTGCGCTGTGTAGGTCACCTCGGTGTTGCCGCTTGTCCGGGCAAATGTTGGTGCCAGGACCCAAATTCCCTCTGTCCAGCTCTGGATCCATTACCCAGGACTCCAGAGCGGCCTTCCCGACCAGGAACTGACAGACGGGCTGGGGATGTCCCTCTCCCGGGAGCACAGGGGCTGCCGCCTTCCTCCTGAGGGAGGTGACTCAGCAGGGCTCCGGGGTCCACCGCCAGTCTGCTGGGCTCAGGTCTCTTGACATCCCGTGTCCTTTGTCAACTCTCAGAGCGGTAAGAACAGGAGCCCGGTGAGGGTCAGCCAGAGGGCAGGCGGGGGCCCTGCCCATGCTAGGGGCTCGGTAGTAATGACATAACGGTGGTGGTGATAGCTAACACTTACTAAGAGCTATGTGTCTGGGGCCCAGTCTTAGAGTTCGGCATTTATTTATTTAACCCTCACAGCTAACCTAGGAGACGGGTATTCGCCTCTGTTTTACAGGTCGGGGAACTGGGGCCCAGCGAGGTTAAGTTACTCCAGTGGTCACACAGCTGATGACTGGAAGTCTGGCTCATGCTTTACCACTAAGTTATCCTGAAGCCGCTCAGCCCCGCGAGATTGCTGGGGATGAAGGGGCAGGTGGAGATGGGGGCTGAGCCGTCACTCACATGATGCCAGCAGCTTCGTGTGGTAACGAAGGGGGCAGGCCTAGAAGCCAGGCTGCCTGGGTCCAAGTCCTGGTTCCCCTGCGTCCTGGTTTGGTGCTGGGCACGGGCTGGATCTCTTCGTGCCTCACTTTTCTCATCTGTTGTTGGCATCACATCAGCCATTGTGAGACCTAAATGAGTTAACACGTGAGAAGCGCTGGGTGAGCCGATAGCAAGTGCTCAGTGAGTATCGGTGGGAAGTAAAGCAGCGCGTGCAGTGTGCCTGCTGTGGGCTCTGCGGAGGCATGTCCCAGGCCACACCCACCAGAGGCACGTCCCAGGCCACGCCCACCCATCGCTGGGCGGCGATGAAGGGAAGGAAAGAGCAAGTAACCCCCTCTCCAGTCACCGCCAGAGTCACCCTCAAATCAGATGCTTTTGCACCAAGAATCCCATGTCATGCTCCCCACCCCCCCCCCTGCCCGTGCCCCCTCTTGGGGTGCCAGGCTTGGGGTGAAATAGTCCATATTTCAGAGAGGCAATGTGTGAATAGAAAGAGCCCTGGACTGACCTGTGTTCGAGTCCTGGCTCCACCATGGGGCTGGCGTAGACATGTGACCAGAGGTCTTAATTGAGTCTTGCCAGCTGCTCGGGCATAGCCTCGCCTCCTCCAGTGAGGCTGAGAGGAATGGAGGAAAGTGCGTGGGGCATTTCCAGCACAGGGTGGCGATTGCAGGACTGTCAGCCCTTGGGGAGGGGCCTGGGGCCCACCCATGTAACTAGGCTGACATCTGCGGCAGGGAGAGGGGGAGAGGCAGAGAGCAACTACAGGCATGTTTTCAAAATTAATCTTGAATGACACAAACAGTATATACAAACACACCCTCCTTTAAACACGTAGACCAGGCTAAAAAGCGCCCTTGACTCATGCCCCCTCCCCCAGCTCTGCCCCCCCTCCCCCGGGGGTGGCCACCCCTCAGTGTGGCGTGGACTGTTCCGGCCCTCCCCCACGAACACATTAACATTCCTGTTGGAATCCCCACAACAGAGAGTGTTTTCGTCTGTTGCTCTTTTACGTGCATATACCATTCTGAGCACATCTGCCTGCCGCTTGCCGTTCCACTCACCCATCCGTGCCTCCTTTCCAACCTGGTGCTGATGCGCAGGGCAATCTGAAAACCATCCATTCTGCCGCCGCCTCTCCCAGCTGCCAGCCCCGGCCCTGGCCCCGCTGACTCTGAAGCTTGGCGCCGTCTTGCATTTGAATATGTCGAGGCTGCCGAATCCTCAGGGGCCCCGGCTTAGCCTGATGGGACGGGTTTGGCAGCCCAAGTGGAATTGGTTGCCAGGCTGGTACTGCCTGGCAAGTGCTTTTCTAAACAGCCCACACCGTCATTCATTCCATCCCATCCCTTCGCACCCCTTCAGCTGGCTTTAGGAGCACCCACTGTGTGCCGGGCCCTGGGAGGCGGAGAGGTTGGTGAGGCCCCCCTGCTCCAGAGCTCACTGTTCAGAGCACACCATTAGGGTAGTGTGGCCCTCGGAGGCCAGCACTCGCTTATTCTTTTCAAGATTTATTCAAGAAGCAGAGAGCACCTACTGTGTGCCGGGCACTGGCTAGGCGAGGACAGACTTGGGCCCCAATCTTGGCCTGGCCACTTGGAGCTGTGGGATCTGGGGCAGGCTGCTCGCCCTTTCTGAGCCGCAGTTTGCTCACTGTACCATGAAGGTAACATACCTCACAGGGGTCTTGTAAGGACTCAGGGAAACGGTGGGCATGAAGTGTGTGGCCTGTGCCAGCTCCCGAAGGCTTGTTCTCATTAGCATTGTTGATACCCAAGACCACTGGCCAGCGTCACTGCAGTCATCTCCTGTGACCCTCAAGGTCATCCCACAGGGCAGTCTTGCATTCACATGGGACAGGTGGGGAAAGGAGATTGGAGAGGTCGCATGGCGCCCTGAGGTCACGTGGTCCCCTGAAGGCCGTGTGGCTGGTGAGTGGAGGAGGCAAGATGCACACCCGGGCCACCCAAAGCCGCACCGAGTTCCTGCTGTGCGTGAGGTGCAGCTCCCGGCCTGGGGTGTGCACTGAACGAGACAGGCAGGACCCCTCCTCTCGTGGACGTTGTATTTATTGTTATTCTACCACCGTCCCCACAAGCGCATAAGTCACTCAGCCCTGCAGGGAAACGGGGGTGAATCAACCGTGTCCGAACCACGCGGTGCCACCGATGAGCTGCGTGGCCTCATGGGGGAGGGGGCTGTCAGGAGCCGCCTGCGAACTCACCACCTGGGGTTTCTCTCCGCACAGGGGACGTCTTCATCCTGGTGTTCAGCCTGGACAGCCGGGAGTCCTTCGACGAGGTCAAGCGCCTGCAGAAGCAGATCCTGGAGGTCAAGTCCTGCCTGAAGAACAAGACCAAGGAGGCGGCGGAGCTGCCCATGGTCATCTGCGGCAACAAGAACGACCACAGCGAGCTGTGCCGCCAGGTGCCCGCCACCGAGGCCGAGCTGCTGGTGTCGGGCGACGAGAACTGCGCCTACTTCGAGGTGTCGGCCAAGAAGAACACCAACGTGGACGAGATGTTCTACGTGCTCTTCAGCATGGCCAAGCTGCCCCACGAGATGAGCCCCGCCCTGCACCGGAAGATCTCCGTGCAGTACGGCGACACCTTCCACCCCAGGCCCTTCTGCATGCGCCGCGTCAAGGAGACGGACGCCTACGGCATGGTCTCGCCCTTCGCCCGCCGCCCCAGCGTCAACAGTGACCTCAAGTACATCAAGGCCAAGGTCCTCCGGGAGGGCCAGGCCCGGGAGCGGGACAAGTGCACCATCCAGTGAGCGGGAGGGACGCCGGGGTGGGGCTCGGGCAGGGCCTTGTGGGAGGCGGCCCGGATGCCCGCACCCCCCAAGAGACCCCCAATGGCAGTCGTTGGCGCCAGACTGGAGGACCCCAGCCTGGAACCTCTGAACCTTCTCTTGCCTTCCTGCCTCCGCCCTCTGATTCCACGGATCCCCCTGGTCCCAGCTCCGCCGGGCGGGGACGGATCTCCGCAAGCAGGAGACGAGGCTGGGAGACAGCTGGACTGGATGCAGGGACCCAAGTCGAGCCTTCCTGGCCTTGGGTCATAAGAAACTCTGATGCCAGAGGGGCCAGGACCCCTGCACCCCACAGGGCCTCCTGGGACGGCGCCAGGATGAAAACAGCACCCAGAGCAGCCGGGAGAGCTCGGCTGTCCTGGCGTGAGACCCAGCTTGGCTCAGCTGGCAGCTAGGACAGCCCCTGCACTCCCAATCCCGAAACTCTTGCCCTCTGGCTCAGCTGTTTCTACCCCTGCCCCCCACGTGGGCCCCGGCTGTCCGGGACCTCAAGCCAGGGGCATCTGTGTGTGGAAGGGGGTGCAGCCACGTCTCTGGGGCCACGTCCGTCTCCAGGACCACCTGCCTCCCTCGCCTCCTCTCCCAGGTTCCCCCGTCTGCTGGTTTACTTTGTTGTTACAGCTGTTCTCACGTCGTGTGTAGCGTAGGAATGGAAATCCTTGTACTGTAAAAGCCTAGTGACCCCTCGTTGGCCAGGCCCCCACCCAGTTCACGTCCACTGCCTCCCCCGCGCCCCGACGGGGTCCCATGGCCTGTCTGCAGCTGGACACTGCCCTCCATCTGAGCTTTACAGTCCACACTCCCCCAGGCCGGGCTGGGCGTCTGGCCGCTTCTGCCCCAGCACCCTAATCCCCCCGCGCCCACCCGAGCTAGTTCAGGACAGAGCTCCATCTAGAACCAGGCTCTCCTCGGTGCTGGGGCCACTGTGTGCTGGAAACGGGGTGAGTGATGCACTTTGTGACCCCAAGGCCAGGGCCTTCCCCAGGCCTGGCCTCTTTCCCCTCCCCTGCCCACCTCTGCCCACCCTGCTGTCCCACTGCCTTCCGCACACACACACAGCTGGCGGGAGGCTTGGAGGAGCAGCCGGGAGCCAGAGCCGAGCTGGAAGAAGCAGGTGTAAAGACTCCCAGTGGGTCTTTTTCTCGTGCTGGGGATGGGGCGGTACTGGGTACCAGGCCTGCTGGGATTTGAACCTCTAGACCAAACGCTCTTGTCATCAGCTCTTAAATACAGTTTGTACTTTAATTTTCTGAAAATATTGATGTTTAGGGCCACAAAGAACCTTAATAATCACCTAGTGACTCTTTCCAAGGCCCAGAGAGGGTAAGCAACTTGCCCGAGGTCACACAGCAAGTCAGAGTGGCAGACGCAGGGCTAGATCTGGGCATTCAGCACACACCATGATGTGTGTCCTCTCCTCATGCTGCCTCTGAGGCTCCTGTGGATTCGGTGTACATTGTGCCCACATAGGCAGTGTACACACCTGCGAACACACATACACACAAGCCCTAGCCTCGGCTCTGCACACCCTCCGCCCGCGCCCTGGCCCCTGCTGCTCACTGCAGCAGTCCTGACCTGCATCTGTGCCCCTGCCCATCCTGCCCCGACCCTTCCGATACCTTGGCCAGGACAGGTGTGCGGCCTGGCCTCACCCAGATCTCTGTATCCTCTCTAATATTAAAGTGGGTTTGTTTCTAAGCCGTGTCCTTGATCGTGTGCATTTCCAAGAGGAGGTAGCCTCTTTGCCCCACAGCTGGTCTTTCCCTCCCCGAGTGGCACCTGCTGGGGTCCTCGCTCTGTGTCGGTGTTGGTCTTAATGGTTAAGGATGTGGTGGGGTTGGGGGGAATCAACTCCAAGCCTCTCAGCCTGGGCTCTCTTGTGGGGGGGGGGTGCTGAGTGTCCCTCTAGAGGGGTGGCAGGTGAGAGAGGTGAGGACCCTGGGGACCATCAGCCCGTTGGCGTCACCATGGTTGGGTTCCATGTGGCTCCCATAGAGCATCGATTTTGCCCCCAGGGGACATTTGGCAATGTCTAGGAACTGGGTGGGGGCGGGTGGGGTGTCGCGTGCTCCTGGTGTCTGGTGGGAGGAGGTTAGGGATGCTGCTGAAACCCTCCTCTGGCCTGG